CAAATAATCTTTCTCTTTGCCAGGTGGTGTTGGTATAATATAATAATTGGGAGCCATTCAGCAGCTGGTACCAAGGTGCTAATTAGGCTGAATTGAGTAATTGTGCTGATGCTCGGGAAGCGATTGTGTAGTTTTAGCTTAACCCTTACTAAATAGCTTTAGTGCTCTTCACTTTTAATTGTATTTATACTTTTAAAATCTGTTTGACACCCCCCAACCCCGGAGAGCGGTTGTTATTTGTTAAGTTTGTCCCTTCGGAGTCATTATTTTATGTGTTTTTAAATTTCTATTCTTCGTGTACCTGAGAACACGCGGTGAGAGGTGCGCTACGTACATTGATAAAATAAAACAAATACAGGCCAAGTCTTTCTTTTTCTCTTTATATCAATGATTCCTTAGTGAGAGGGAGAAATTTATTTTTTCTCACTGCTGTGAACATAATTTTTTCAGGGCTGCACTGTTTGTAGGTTCTCTGTTTATTGCCACAATTGGTAAGTTTAGAAAGCCCAGAGGAATATTTCTCAAAAGCCTTAATGCTTGGACTCCTCTTGAGCTCCTCTTGTAAAATGGAATTCTCTGGGCTCCTTCCTCACCCTTTCCTCACCCCGCTGAATCACAGCTCGTGGGTATATTTAATCAATACTTATTTGCTGTATCTTACCGTGTAGGATCTGTGAGGTTTGGTGGAGATGTGGGCGCTGAAGTTCCCCGTATCAGGAGGGGACTCACCCTGAAAAGGACATTATTTCTCCTGCTGTTTGTAAATAATTTATCCAAGTGCAAAGCCAGTGTCCATTCCATGTCTCTCCTGGGTATTTATGTTCCTTCTGGGGAGGTGTGAAGCGGGGAACTAACTCTGGAGGAAGTTGTCACGAAGAGGGACGGTTACTCAGCTGCTGAATTACAGCCACCTCAAAAAAGCAGCTCTTGGATATTTTACCGTGTTAAAACTAATCTTAATTTGCTTCTTTTCCCTCCAAAAACTCCAGTGAGAGCCCCTTTGGAGTCCACATAGTCAGATGTGAGGAACATCTTCCATAATGGAGTGCGTTGGGTGGGTCAGGTTTTCATAGAGCCATGGAATCACAGAGACATGGAATGGTTTGGGTGGGAAGGGACCTTGAGGATCATCCAGTGCCACCACCTCCCACCAGCCCAGGTTGCTCCAAGCCCCCTCCAACCCGGCCTTGAACCCCTCCAGGGATGGGGCAGTTTTCACCCAGAAACTACTGGTTTTCTGTACGAGACCATTAATTTGTATTTTCTTCAAGACCCAAGGCAACCAGGGCACTGGATCTGTTGTAGAGTGAGATCATTCAGACCCTCACCTGTGGGTCTGCTCGGCGCTTTTCAAGCTCGACTCAGGGAAAAGTGTCATTAAAAAAAGGCACTCTCAAGTTCTAGGAGATAAAATCAGTTTTCAACAACCAGGGTTATTCTGCCAACACCCGTTGGAAGCAAAACGAGATCCCCTGAAGAGTACACAGGTATGGAGTTCCTTGCATTAGAATCACAGAAGGGTTAGAGTTGGAAGGGACCTTAAAGATCATCCAGTTCCAACCCCCTGTCCTAATTCTGGATTGAAAGGATTTTACCCAATGAAGAAATGCAAGGAGAGGGACTCCAAGAGTGGTATCCCCGTTTAAAGGCCGTCAGTGCAATGGGGAGAGGTCACAGCAGGACGGATGGGATTTCAGAATGGTTTGGGGACTCACCTGGGAAGGTCACAGGCGTGTTGGGAATGTCCACCAGATCCTTTCCCCGGAGCCATCAACCGACGTCGTCGGGATAAAGGGATGTTCAACTGAACTGAGACTTATTGGTGCTGGGGAAGCGCGAGCTGAGGAGCTGGATAAATTCATTCCAACAGAGCTGTGATTTCACAGAAGAGTCCAACCACCAGTTGAAGACAAGGGAGTCTTTAATGGGAAGGGGAGACACCTGGTGTGACAGCTCTGCCAGGCCACGAACTCACGCCGTGGCCAATAGGACAATCAGAAATTATTTTTTAAGGTATTTTTAAAAACGCTGAATCTCTGATATTTTTGCAACCACAGCAGACACAGGGACAGCCTTTTCTGCCCGTTCCCCTCACCCAGCACCACCACAACCCCCACAACAGGGCCCGTGTTAAGGCACAATTTACGTGCAACAAATTAATGCAGTTACACTACAAATCGTGAGATGTTTAAAATGTGAAATATTGGGAAAAATCCTTAGGACACAGCAAACAAACGTTAGTTTTTGTGGGAGGGCAGCAGCCGCGTCTCTCCACGGTCACGGGGCCTTCGCTCCCCAGGTCTCTGGTGACGACTCCTCCATTCCAGGGCACTAAAACCCACTTCATCTTGGACAGAAGCAACTGATGGGAAATTCTTTCACAAACCATGAATTTTTATTTCTGAAATCCAACCCTTCCCCCCGCCCCAAACTCCACGGGGTCAAAACAAGGGAACACATTTTCCAAACAATACCCACAAAAAGCCAAACCTTTGGTTTCGGCACCCAAATATGGACAAAACTGCTTTTCTAGAGCTTCCAAAGCAGCTCAGCCTTTTTTCTTCCCCCCCATACATACCACAAACCCTTTGATAACACTCTAGAACATCAACAGAGTAAGATTTTAACTTTTCAAAGAGGGGGGAAAAAAAACCAAACTAAAAAAGATAGGAATTTATAATTTCTAGTCTCCCCCCTAATGTGGATGTAAACGGGGGCAGCGAGGGTTTTGTGGGACAGAGGCTGCTGAAACCCCCCTTTCTTTTACTTCCAGTTTTACAGCAGTTGCTTTTAAAATGGTTCTGCCAATTTTTAATTGCAACTTTAATTGCCATTTTATGGAACTATCAGGAATTTGCAACTCACTCTAAAGCAGCAACGAACCAATAGAAGAGCAGAGAAGGGTGATTTCTGCTCCTGTGCCAGCAATTAAGCTGATAAAGAATATTCTAACGAAGGCATCTTCTCTACAGATAATTCTAAGAATTATTAAGAAGAATCAATATGAATAAGACCAGGTATAAGATTTGCCTTACGATTAAATTCTGTACTAGACACAGCTTTAAAATTTAAATATTCTTAGTATTCTATTGCCATAAATTTTTTCCCCCCCTTTGAGCACAGCTTTAATAAATAAAAATATATGCACAAGTATTTACTTCTGCTCTGTCGTCCTAATGTGTCTATTTATAACTAATACAAAATGTAAAAAGAAAACAAGGATTTTAAACATACGTAACATATTTAAATAATTTAATACATTTGCTGTTTGTTCCTTATAAACCCTTTGTTTTTTTTTTTAAATTAAAAAAAAAGTTTTATAAATATATTTTAGCTTCCTGTGAAAGTCTAAGGGGGGCAGTTGCCAAAGATGAACTTATTAGAAAATAGAATTTTATAATAATCTGAATATTCAAACCTATCTAAACAAAACAGCGGTAAACATCTGTGTGCTGCTATTAAAGCACAATCCTTAACGGATGAAAAAAAATCATCTAAATCATCACTTTTTAAGTTTTCCTCTTTTTCTGTAGAATCCTGTGTGTAAAAATGAGTTAAAATTGAACAGGGGGGACCCGAGGCGCGAAGCAGCCGCCGGATTCCGGTTGTTCCCAAAGGGGCTGGAGCCAGGATCGGTGAAGCCGTTCTGGAATTCTGCATTTCAGAGCCATTTTGTGGGTTTCACAGTTTTTTATCCATCTTTTTTAAAAGTGCAGATATTTCCTTACTTCCTTTAGGAGGTGCCTGTCCCACCGAGCCGACCAAAACACGGCGCTATCACCTGACAACGCTAGTTTTAGTTAAAGAGAGCCATTTTGTGGGTTTCACAGTTTTTTATCCATCTTTTTTAAAAGTGCAGATATTTCCTTACTTCCTTTAGGAGGTGCCTGTCCCACCGAGCCGACCAAAACACGGCGCTATCACCTGACAACGCTAGTTTTAGTTAAAGAAAAAAAAAGAAAAAGACATGGCTGCCTACGGAATTAGGACTTTTTGTGTGTTTTTCTTTGGATTCTTAAACAACTTTTTCTTTGGATTATCAACAAACATTTGTATAGAAATCCTTTTCTTACAATTTTCCAAGTCCCCAGTAATTGGCCCGTCGGGAGGCGTCAGAAGGGGTTGAGGCGGATCCCGGTTCCCAGCGGGGAGAAGGGGTTGACTTTGGCCCACATGAGCGCGTCGTTCAGCGAGATGGTGGACTTTCCATCCTCCAGGAAGAACACGGGGCCCTGCTCCAAGGAAAGGGTTGGGGAGGGAGAGGAAAAGAGAGAGAGAGAGAGGACACGAGTGGTGTGAGAACGAGGAGAGCCACGAAGGTAACATGCTCACGTGAAGACCTCACTCACAGGTTGTAGCCACGAAGGTAACATGCTCACGTGAAGACCTCACTCACAGGTTGTGTCCCACCAACAAGTGGAGAAGAGAAGACTGAGGAGGGATCTGATCAACCCCTATAAATACTTAAAGGGTGGGTGTCAGGAGGATGGGGCCAGTCTTTCTTCAGTGGTGCCCAGGGACAGGACAAGAGGGAACGGGCACAAACATGAACATGGGAAGTTCCACCTCAACATGAGGAGGAACTTCTTCCCTGTGAGGGTGGCAGAGCCCTGGCAGAGGCTGCCCAGGGAGGTGGTGGAGTCTCCTTCTCTGGAGACATTCAAACCCCACCTGGACACGTTCCTGTGCAACCTGGATGGACCTGCTCTGGCAGGGGGTTGGACTGGATGATCTCCAGAGGTCCCTTCCAACCCCACAGTATTCTGTGATCCTGTGATACAGTCTTATCTAGAAGGTGTCAGCACTTGTCCTCTTTACTTTCTGCTGCTGTGACAAGTGGGAAAAACCTTTTTCCTCCCAAATGATGGGAAGGGCCTTAAGATTTATGACAACCTCACAAGTGGTGGCCACCACCAGGGAAGGAGCACCCCGTGGCGGGGCAGACCATGGACTCCCAGACGAGGCAGTACCTGTATCCTCAGCCCGGTGAGGCAGGAGACGTGGGGCTCGGCGTGGCTGGGGAGGTTGGAGCCGGTGACGTTGTCCGGCCCCACCAGCCCTTGGAGAGGCTCCTCCGGGATGCGGGACAGCAGGAGGGAATAGACCCTTCTCTGTGACTCCGACGGGGGGGTCCCTGGGGAGTCATCGCCCGCCCTGCGACAGGAGACACTCACTTGGCACCTGTAAACCCCGTGAAGAGCCACAAAGTGCTCACAAAGGAAGGAAATAACTGGATTTTGAGAATTTCCTACTTTTCCACCTACTTGTGTAGCTGGGAACAGGCTCTCCAGGCGTCCAGCTCCTCCGAGAGCTGCTCCAGCCTCAAAGGGACGGACACCTCCCGTCTTTTTAAAAGCTGACTGAAAAGGGATGCAAGTAATCAAAGGGCAAATTAATTCTAAATTTTCGTAAAAGAAAACCAAGACGTACAGTAGTAATATAAAGCTATTTTTGTTGGGATATGGAAATAACTTTATGGAAATAAATTGATCCTTCATGATAAATAATCAATATATTAAACCTTAGAAATATTAAATTACTAGATATAAAAAGCATACATTTTTTATTTAAGTTTGATTTTAATTATCCCTATTTACACCCATAAAAAGTGTATATTTAAGTTTTATTTTAATGTCCTCTACTTACACCTTCTTATTTAAGCTTGTCTTTAATTAGCTCTGTTTTTTTCCTTTATATTTTAAGGCTATACATGTTCCTATTTCTTAATTATAACAACTTTATAAAAATAAAGGACACATTTTGCCATATATAGTAGCTGGAATAAAAATGGAGTTAAGAGTAACGTGGTTCAACACCGGCTCTGGGAGAGCCCTGTTTCATCTGGTTTCTTGTGGGAAATACTTTCAAACCCAAACACTTTCAGCCTGGAGAGAAGGAGGCTGAGGGGAGACCTTCTTGCTCTCCACAACTCCCTGAAAGGAGGGTGTAGCCAGGGGGGGTCAGTCTCTTCTCCCAAGGAACAGGCGATGGGACAAGGGGAAATGGCCTCAAGTTGCACCAGGGGAAGTTGAAGATAGATATTGGGAACACTTTTTTCACCCCAAACGGTTGTCAAGGATATGAAGAGGCTGCCCCGGGGTCAGATGGGCCTGGTCAGGTCAGGTCAAGTCAACCGGTTGGGTTTGAGCTGGGCCAAGAGGCCAGGACCAGGCCAGGTCAGACCAAGTGGTCCAGGTCAAGCATGTTAGTGCCTGGGAACATCAGCCCACGGACCAACACAAGGTCCAGCCAGGTCTCCTGGTGGGACTTGAGCCAGACTCCAAGGTCAAAGCTTGTCCTTGTGGCTACTGAGCAGGTCCAGGCAAATGGTCTACACATGGATACTAAATTAGAACTGTTCCTGCCAACATATAATCATGCTGGATACTCAGCTACCTCAAAAATCGTTCATCTTAGAGAACTAAGAGTTTGACCGAAATCCTGGAACCACAACTTGTTACTTGTAGGTGTCTAAGGCACAAAGGTTCTACAGGTGGGCAGGGAAACACCCCGGGAGGTTTGTAACAGAACTGGGAACTCAAAATTGTACTGTTTTTTGGAGAGGATGGGACAGGAAAGTGTGGAAAATGTAGGGACTGGGATTTCTCAGGGTCGCTGGACACAGAATGTCACCTGGTGTACTCGTAAAGGGCCGGGACGATGCTGTTGTACTGTCTCCTGATGGCGAGTAACGCGCCGACGTAGCCACACAGAATCAGCAGCTCGTTCCGAAATCTATACATGGACAAGTATTAACCATAAGCAACAACAAGCATTTGCAAAAAAAAACCCCACCCCATTATACAAATCTATATTCAAATGATAATTTTAAAACTTAATTTAGCCATCTGTCTTCTGTGGAGAATATGCGTTTGCTGATTACGCTTCTTTTCCATTAATTGGTGTAATTGTTAAAACAGACCCCATCCGCTTGATATTGATCACAATTATTACATTTTAAATAGTAAATAGCAGTAAGATACCTTTTTTTCTTCTTGCTAAACCTTGACAATTTAGGAAAATCCCACTTTCTATTCTCTATACTGGGAAGATCCTTGTTCTTGACATTTTTTGGTACCCCCCTTCTGGGAACCAGAACAAGAGACAGTAACAGTGCGCGTCTCTATTTTCTTAATTCCAAAAGTTTCCTTTAATGAAACTTCCACTTTTATAGGGCAGGAGAATGTACTCACTCACTACATTTATGCAGCACCAGCCGCTCGGTGCGTATGTAACTCAGGAGATCGAGATAGGGACAGACGGAATCTAAAGTCCAGTCTGAGCCACAGAGTTGTTCTGTTGGAAAACAGAAAGAAAAAAGGGTCTCGAGGCAAATCAGGCAGGGACCGACCCCGGGGAAGGTCTCCTCCTCCAGGCACCCACCTTTCACGTACTGGATGCCGATGGGGAGGGCCTTTTCAGGTTCTGTGCTTAACAGGTAGTACTTGATGGCTTCAAACAGGTCCCCCTCTGCCTGAGCCGTCTCTGCCAACCGCAGGCATTCTTCTACATCGGGAAGATTACACTGGAAAACAGGGATTTTGGCAAAGAATTATTGTAAGACTCCAATAATTCTCTAGGATGCTGAAGTTTGCACGTAATAATAGAATGGTTTGGGTTGGAAGGGACCTTAAAGATCACCCAGTCTCACTGTCACCCCCTGCCCTGGGCAGGGACACCTCCCACCAGCCCAGGTTGCTCCAAGCCCCCTCCAACCTGGCCTTGAACCCCTCCAGGGATGGGGCAGCCACAGCTTCTCTGGGCAACCTGGGCCAGGCTCTCACCACCCTCACACCAAACAAGTTCTTCCTGAGACCTCATCTCAATCTCCCCTCTTCCTGTTTAAAACCCTTCCCCCTCATCCCGTGGCTCCCCTCCCTGATCCAGAGTCCCTCCCCATCTCTCCTGGCGCCACCTGAGGGACTGGAAGGGGCTCTAAGGTCTCCTCGGAGCCTTCTCTTCTCCAGGCTGAACCCCCCCAACTCTCTCAGCCTGTCAACAGTAAGATCAAACTTTCTCTGAAAAAATTTAAGCAGCATGAGTTTCCATTATTAAAGTTTTTGTGAACTTTTTACTATTGTTCTATAGATGTGCAGCCCGAGCTGAACATTAAGGGAGCTGGTGGAGGGGACCCTTCTGCTGCTGCAGGGGAAAAGGCCAGGACAGGAAACTCATCTGCCCTGACATGAGTAGGCTGCACTTGAGTGATGAGGAGGTTATGAAGGTGTTTCTGAAGACCATAAGCTACTCCAGTAGTCACCTGTGTCATGGAAAGGCTACGCACAGAGTAGGATTCAAAAAATAAAGTTCTTCTCATGCAACACTAAAAAATAAAGTCAATAAAGACTAAAAGATCAAAAAAGGACATTGAACATATAAGATTGTTAGTGACAAATCCATCCCACAGATTAACTTGCCCTTTAATTTTCTGGAATTAGTAACCAACTCAATACAAGACTCATTAGTGTTCAGGTAGATTCTCTTCCATCGTACCTTTTCATGCAGGTCATTGATTTCTGCTGCACATCCAGGATAAAAAGCACATAGTTTCACTAATTGCAGTTTATTCTCAGGAATCATCATGAGGAGATCAGCTGCTAAATCCCTGCGCAGACAAGAGACAACACGTGGTTACTCACTTGGTTTTCTCTTTTACATTCCTTTTATAACACAGATTTTACTGAAAAAATACTATTTGGAGAGAAGAGCACGTCCCAGACCATGACAAACAGAAGTATCCCCAAATCTCTGTTTTGGTGCAATAAATGAGGCTTAATCTATTCATCTTTTTTGGGAAGTTATAGGTTAATTTGCTGTCGTTTTAGTTGGTTGAATTAAAATGCTGTGAATTCTTCAAGCATCAGAGCCAGGTCCAAGTGAGATGGAAGAACTCCATCTCACTTGGAGAAGGGAGAACAAAGGGAGGAAGAAGGGAGGAGGAAGAAGGGAGGAGGAAGAAGGGAGGAGGAAGAAGGGAGGAGGAAGAAGGGAGGAGGAAGAAGGGAGGAGGAAGAAGGGAGGAGGAAGAAGGGAGGAGGAAGAAGGGAGGAGGAAGAAGGGAGGAGGAAGAAGGGAGGAGGAAGAAGGGAGGAGGAAGAAGGGAGGAGGAAGAAGGGAGGAGGAAGAAGGGAGGAGGAAGAAGGGAGGAGGAAGAAGGGAGGAGGAAGAAGGGAGGAGGAAGAAGGGAGGAGGAAGAAGGGAGGAGGAAGAAGGGAGGAGGAAGAAGGGAGGAGGAAGAAGGGAGGAGGAAGAAGGGAGGAGGAAGAAGGGAGGAGGAAGAAGGGAGGAGGAAGAAGGGAGGAGGAAGAAGGGAGGAGGAAGAAGGGAGGAGGTTAATGTGGTGCTCTCTCATGAAACCATCCACAAACTACAGGCTTCTAAAGCTCCGTGGCACCAGCAGAAGACATCTCTCAGCCACCCCCAACAGCCAGTGCTTCTGCCCCATTGCAAAAGAGAGATTTTGCAAGAAAAAGAACACGATGCCTTTTTTCATCCTTCTGAAAGGAAAACTGGGTTTTAGCAAACTGAAATTTCTTGAAATATTCCTAACTTTTTAGCTTTTGTTACCCCCCCCGTAACACAACAAGCAGCTGGAGGGAACACAAGTGAATATCAATAAATTATTTTGAAACAAGTATTCTATTGAGCTTTTAATAACTGATTATTCTGGTTGGTCTGTGACTCTTCTGTTCACACAGACGTGGTTCCTCCTCTGACCCACACAAGTGACTTGTGGGGCAAAATCTCCTGCTGGATTTTCAGAGCGTGGCCCTTGGCTTAAAAACATGAGCTACAATCAAGTATTTGCAGCTGCTTTCCAGCCCACCTCCCAGTATTGATAACAATTAAAAAAATTAAACCCTTAGTTTAGTTTAAGCTTATTTTTAGCATTAGTGAAGTCAAACACTTTTCAACCCTCTCCGTAAACAAGGACAATACCTGTATCCAAGTGATGGAAAGCTAAAAGGAAAATATTGAAAGAGTAAGGAACAAAACCTTGGTTTATATTCTTACTTTACAGAGGAAAAATCTAATTGAAAATAAACTACAACAGCAAATCTAAGGGTCAGTTTAACCAACTTTGTTTAACGACAAAAAAAAAAAGCACCTTTTGAGGACCCAAAGAAGCTCATGCCAATTTGGAAAATTTATTACACCCTTCCCAGGCAACAGCCACTTTTCCAAGATATAGAATCTATAGATACTTAAGCCAATACCAGCCACAGCAGAAAGACTGATGATTAATTGCAATATCTTCTTAAGCACAGCTTTTCTATGAAATGTTAATTCCCAAACACCCCTACAGCTGTGAGAAACACCTTAGGATGATTTTCTGCTTTTCAGTAGAAAAAAACCAGACCAAACCTGTATCCTTCACAGTAAACCCACTGCAAGGAGGAGAAGAAAATGTAGCAGAGAGAGATTTTCCCCTCTGTGCAACAGAGAAATGACCCACTCCCACGGAATTAAATAGGGATCTTGTTTCATCCTTCAGTCTTATCAGCTGCCTTGTAATCCCAATGCCAGCAGCAAATAACTCCTCAGCCTCTTAACAAGCACGTTTTTTCCAGCAAGTACTTAAAAATCCCTTCACAGATCCTACTTAAGCTTCTCTTCCTTTTGATTTTATAATTCAATTCCAGCCTTACTTTGCCTGAAATTCATTTTTACCCAGTACAGACTGGGATTTACCACGCTACTTATTGCCCAAGTATCCAGGGCTTTTCAGCAGGTTTCAGACTCTATTTGACAACGCCTCTTCCCTCACTTGCAATGCATATATCATGTAATTTTGAGATTAAAGCAGCACGTTTCCATGCCAGGCACCTCAAAGCTCTAATCCAGCAATTCTTATCCCAGCAGCGATTCCCGTTCTGCTGCTTTGGCCTCTGTCAAAGAACAGGGCAAGGAAGAACCTCATGAGGTTCAACAAGGAAAAGTGCAGGATCCTGCACCTGGGGAAGAAGAATGTCAGGCACCAATACAGGTTAGGGGTGGACCTGCTGGAGACAAGCTCTGAAGAAAAGGATCTGGGGGTCCTGGTGGACAACAAAATGACAATGAGCAAGCAGTGTGCTCTTGTGGCCAGGAAGGCCAACGGAATCCTGGGCTGGGTAGGGAAGAGTGTGGCCAGCAGGTCAAGGGAGGTCATTCTGCCCCTCTGCTCTGCACTGGTGAGGCCACAACTGGAATACTGTGTCCAGTTCTGGGCTCCCCAGTTCAAGAGGGACAGGGAACTACTGGAAAGAGTCCAGCAAAGGGCTACAAAGATGATTCAGGGATTGGAGCATCTCCCTTATGAGGAGAGGCTGAGAGAGCTGGGACTCTTTAGTCTGGAGAAGAGAAGGCTGAGGGGAGACCTTGGACTTGATGATCCCAAGGGTCTCTTCCAACCTGAATGATTCTGTGATTCTACAAGTATCTCAAGGGCAGGCTGAGGGAGGAGGGAACCAGACTCTTTTCAGTAGTTGCCAGTGAGAGGACAAGGGGCAATGGGCACAAGTTGGAACATAAAGGGTTCCACTTGAATATGAGGAAGAACTTTTTCACGGTGAGGGTGGCAGAGCCCTGGAACAGGCTGCCCAGGGAGGGTGTGGAGTCCCCTTTTTTGGAGATTTTCAAGACCCCCCTGGATGCAGTCCTGAGTAACATGCTCTGACAAGCTCTGGGTGGTCCTGCTTTGGCAGGGGAGTTGGACTAGATGATCTCTATGGTCCCTTCCAACTCTAAAATTCAGAGAAATTCAGTGAAAGTTTTAGGATGAAACCCCTTTGTCGTTTTGTCGGGGAGGGGGGAGGAAAAAAATTAAAAATAAAACTCTTACCACGTTGTTACTGTCATACATTTCCTGGCCAGCAGTTCCAGGGCGTAGTGTGTTGCTGGTGCCGCGGTTTCCCCCAGGACGGAGCCCACGCCGGCCGCCAGCTCCAGCTCGTTGCCGCGGATCAGGGCTGCCATGGCCAGCTGCAGCAACGACAGCAGCACACCATGAAGGCACACAGGTGGTTTTTTTGGGGAGGAATCACCACTTCCAGCATAAAACTTTCATCAGACAGCTTGTTGAAACAATTATTCTATTGAGCTTTTAATAACTGATTATTCTGGTTGGTCCATGACTCTTCTGTTCACACAGACGTGGTTCCTCCTCTGACCCACACGAGTGACTTGCCCCTGCCTAAGGCAAAATCTCCTGCTGGATTTTCAGAGCGTGGCCCTTGGCTTCAAAACGTGAGCTACAATCAAGTATTTGCAGCTGCTTTCCAGCCCACCTCCCAGTATTGATAACAATTAAAAAAATTAAACCCTTAGTTTAAGCTTATTTTTAGCATTAGTGAAGTCAAACACTTTTCAACCCTCTCCGTAAACAAGGACAATACCTGTATCCAAGTGATGGAAAGCTAAAAGGAAAATATTGAAAGAGTAAGGAACAAAACCTTGGTTTATATTCTTACTTTACAGAGGAAAAATCTAATTGAAAATAAACTACAACAGCAAATCTAAGGGTCAGTTTAACCAACTTTGTTTAACGACAAAAAAAAAAAGCACCTTTTGAGGACCCAAAGAAGCTCATGCCAATTTGGAAAATTTATTACACCCTTCCCAGGCAACAGCCACTTTTCCAAGATATAGAATCTATAGATACTTAAGCCAATACCAGCCACAGCAGAAAGACTGATGATTAATTGCAATATCTTCTTAAGCACAGCTTTTCTATGAAATGTTAATTCCCAAACACCCCTACAGCTGTGAGAAACACCTTAGGATGATTTTCTGCTTTTCAGTAGAAAAAAACCAGACCAAACCTGTATCCTTCACAGTAAACCCACTGCAAGGAGGAGAAGAAAATGTAGCAGAGAGAGATTTTCCCCTCTGTGCAACAGAGAAATGACCCACTCCCACGGAATTAAATAGGGATCTTGTTTCATCCTTCAGTCTTGTCAGCTGCCTTGTAATCCCAATGCCAGCAGCAAATAACTCCTCAGTCTCTTAACAAGCACGTTTTTTCCAGCAAGTGCTTAAAAATCCCTTCACAGATCCTACTTAAGCTTCTCTTCCTTTTGACTTTATAATTCAATTCCAGCCTTACTTTGCCTGAAACTCGTTTTGACCCAGTACAGACTGGGATTTACCACGCTACTTATTGCCCAAGTATCCAGGGGTTTGCAGCAGGTTTCAGACTCTATTTGACAATGACTCTTCCCTCACTTGGAACACATATATCATGTATTTTTGAGTTTAAAGCAGCACGTTTCCACGCCAGGCACCTCAAAGGTTTTACAGAACGAGAAAATGTGCTTTTTAATTAAAGTTAGTCTATATATGGTTTAGGTTCCTTGGATGAGCCAATAATCCTGCACCGCGTGTTAAAGCAGTTTTTAAATAACCAAATAGATTTCCTTCATCACAATCTTCCTTTATTCCACCAAATAAATTATACATATATATAAAAAGCATGATAGCAATTCCTTCTAGCCTTAAGCACGGACACTGGCTTTCAGAGTACATATTTCCTCTCTCTTTTGATGAAATGAGACCCAAAAAAAACCCCCAAAATCCAAGCCAGGAAGGGGTCTCCTGTTCTTGCCCTCTCTGGGTAACTGGAGGTAGAGACCACAAAACCACTTGAAACATCTCTATTTTGAAATATAGGCATTAACTGATTACTGTTTTCTCTCAGAACAGCTCATTAAGATGGAATTTTACTTCTTTTGTGGGAGAGAGGAGGAGGAACATGTTGAGCCGACAACAAAATCCATAGAAAACGAGGGAAAGAAATGATTTGTAAAACTACAAAAAAAAAAACAAAAACCACAAAGAAAATCTAATAAAAGACTTCTTACATCTCAGCCCTATTTTTGTGCTGAGGGGTGGGGAGTTTTTACTATTAACTTCACAATTTTGACTATAAATTCTTCAAGGTAGAGACTGTATCTTTTGTGGCACAACCAAGTCCCAGTTCTCAGTGGGTCTTTTGAGTCCCCATAACAGTAATCATTATGTGTATAAGTATATATGTAAGGTACTTAGGTACCTTACATATTCTGATATAACAAGACAGTGTAATATATCAAAATATAATTAAATAACATACTACCTTCTGTGCATGAGAGAAATCTTGACTTTAGAACCAAGGGAGTTTTGCCACTACCTTCAATATTGTAAGAATCAAAAATCTCTATATAAATCTACACAGAGCAAATAACAAGTATAAATAATACATTTTAGAATGTGGTAAATACATTTTTAAAACCAGTTAACATATGGAGATGTAAAAAGGAAGTCAATGTTGGCCTTTCCATAGTTAAATAGAAATATATATATAAGATTACCTCTATGTTTTCAACAGCCAGATGGCAACAGGCTGCAAGCACTGCGTGGCCATCCTGGAAATACCATTCTGCCAGTTCCTTACTGACCTTGTGCAGGAGCCTGCAAGAAGAAAACATAAATTCTGCAAGGTGTACATCAAGGTTGGAGCTCTTCGGTTCTTATTTTATAGAGAAATCACCACATTTGCTTCTGCACCTAAAATTCCTCTATTTGATTTACAGATAACGACGCCGCTGGCTTTCAAAATGCAGTTTGAGCTCCATCCACTGCTTATGTTGGAGCATATTCAGGTGTATCAGTTTATTAAAATCTATATCATATGGAACTGTCTCTTCAAATTGACACAAGAAAAAGCAAATATTTGGGCTGTACCTGTGAACTCTGCATAAATATCTCAAATTGCTCCAAAGGTACATATGTAAATGAAGTCACTCCACAGCCTCCGAGCTGCTTTTGTTACTACACGTGTAACCAGATCATTTGATTTAGGTCTTTGAGCACTGTTCTTAACAAGGAGAGATGTGTGGTTTCTTTTATGGCCAAACACAGTGAGGATACCATTAATAAGGCCATTAATGCACATTGTCAGAAATTCCCTGATGATAAATAGTGAAGCTTCAGAAGAAGACGCATAAAACAGGGACTCACAGACGCTCGTTAAGGCTAAATCTTACTGAAAGATCTAAGTTAATACACCACATATTTAAACATAGGAATGCACAGGTGCATAGGAATGCACCTTAAAGATCAAGTAAGGAAAAGGATATTTATAATTACAATACACACCAAAAAATCCCCATTTGGTGTTAGGAGGCAGCACAATTGCAGAATTGTTCAGTGTAGCATCAATTAGTGACTCTATCAACTAAGTACTAGAAGATGTACTATTTTGTTGTCGAATTTTACATCACTGAGCCAAATTAAACCACCAAGGGTTATCTCCCTTGACGACTTGACATTGTGCACTGAAATGAGGCTTTAGATATAACCTACACCAACTTACTCATTATAATCATCCGTGTTGCTTGCACCCGAATTTGAAGATCCAGTTGCTGTGGAGAGCGGTGACATCTGTATGTTTCCCTCACAAGCTGCCTAGAAGGGAATAAAAAAATGGATTTATTAATGCATCAGTCAAAATGAACATGAAATGTGACTTTTCAACCACAACAAAACATAATCTAAGATCTATAGAAATCCTTCTAAAGTCCAGGAAATGTTTAAACCAACGAACTTACAGCTAAATCTCAGCCATGTTTTTGCCACTCATACAAGAAATTCTACAAAACCATGAGATCTCTTCCTTCCTATGAATTTTTAGAGGATTTTTCCAGCATTTGAACATGCTTAAAATGGACAGCGAGGACTACAACCTTGATTTCTACACCCCAAGCAGCACGTGGCTGTGACTGAAGGAGGAATTCCATAGGTACTTCCCAGCAGGCACATCAGCAAACAGGGACAGGTTTATACAGTGGCATAAGATGAGCCTTTTTTGTGTCTGGCAATAAATTATTCCTAACATTAAATGAGAAGAGACTGGTGTGTGTGAGGTGGAACCTCAAGGTTCCATTCCATGCACTATTCAGCTACTATGAGAAGAATAACAGACAGACAATTCTAAAAGACAAATCCACATTATTGAAGTCTTTATCCCTGAGGCAACTGAAGGTTCAAGGACAGGTAGGCACGAGAGAACGCACCAGGGACAAATCTTGCCAGTTTATTTAACTAATGATATTAAAAACGCAAAAATTACTCCAAAAGAATAAAGGAACGGTGAGCAAGAGTAAAATAAAATATTGGGTCTCTCATGTTTTGTGTGCCCTTTAACTTTTAACTTGTGTTTACATTAGGAAGCATTTATGTAAAAATTTGATTTCCTGCATTGATTGCTGCTGCAATTGGGCAGTTTCACCCAAGGATTCTACAGAACCAAGACCTCAGTAGAAATGCAATAGAAATCCTACATGTCTTAGACGTCAAGGGCAACATTGACTGGTGAAAATAGGGTTAATTTTCTACTTCAACCCAAACTGAATACATTTTGGGCATTTGATTGCAATTTAGAAGGAACAGGCTTAACATCTGTGAGCATGAAATACCTTTTTATGACACCTGGATAAAAACTGGCCAATAGAATACGAAAGTAAGGCGTGGGGTAGGATTAATTAGCCATTTTGCCAAGGTGAAGGGAGCCAGCTCTTTAAATACACTTGTCATCTTCAGAGTTAGAAAGGAATAGTGAAATACATCTTCCATCCAGGTGGGGTAGGATTAATTAGCCATTTTGCCAATACACTTGTCATCTTCAGGGTTAGAAAGGAATAGTGAACTACATCTTCCATCCATATATTTAATACTACCTGGGCAACAAGCAGAGCCTCTTTAAGTTGGCCTCGTGATGTAAAGAAAGAAACTAGTTTCTTCACGTCTCCCACAGCTATGCAGTATGGGATGACATCGTCGTTCTCTTCCTGAATTAGCTGATCAGCTCTCCTAATTAAACAAATCAATAAATAAACAAGAAAGATCTACACAATCGATCAATAAACTTATCTCTACAGATATTTAATACTACCTGGGCAACAAGCAGAGCCTCTTTAAGTTGGCCTCGTGATGTAAAGAAAGAAACTAGTTTCTTCACGTCTCCCACAGCTATGCAGTATGGGATGACATCGTCGTTCTCTTCCTGAATTAGCTGATCAGCTCTCCTAATTAAACAAATCAACAAATAAACAAGAAAGATCTACAGAATCGATCATTAAACTTATCTCTATGGTACAGGTGTTAGAAGAAGCCATATAAAGTTCACTGAAACCCCTCTGTCCGTTTTATGGCCAGAACCCAAGATTCAGCATCACATTTCTATATGATTTTTAGATTTTTTACCTCTGCATTAACTTCCTCCAGTATTTCATGGAGACACCAGGTGCAACAGAGAGCGCTTTGTCCCACTAGAAGAAAGCAGCAACACATGTAACCTGATCGATTTATTTTGAGAAACAGCTGTTTTTTTAACTAGTTTCACATTTCTTCCCTTAAAAATCAATTTGTCAAGAGATTAAATAAGGAATGAGCTCTGCATTAGACTGCATATGTTAAAAAAAAAGATAATTGAAGCAAAATTACTCCTTTCTGGACTTCTTTTGTTGTTACCTCATCTTTGCTTGGGAAGCTGGTTTTCACAAACCTTCATATTTTATTATTTTTCAATAATGCTTTGATACTTTACCTCTCCAAGTTCCACCATTAGCTCACAGTATCGCTGGATTTGTCCTAATCTCAAATGTATTTCTGCAGCTTCTTTAAGCCTCTCCTCTTTGCTGGGAGCACCAATGCCACCCCCAAACTTGGACATTTTTACTGTTGTCAGTTCTTGAGCCTTGGACTGAGGGGGGAGAAAAAAGGTTAAAAAGTAAAAATTAACAAAAAAGTAAGTTTTCAGTGATGAAAACAAATTTTCTTAAGAACGGACTGCAGTTGAGCATTGCACTGGAATATAAAGGCTGTCATTTACGAAAAAATCCTTCTGAGAGAAGGCTAATTGGAAGAGATTACAATGAGATTACGGCGAACTAATTAGAAGACCTTACAATGAGATTACAGAGCACTATTTATATTGTTAAAGTAACTGTTTAAGTGTTTTGTTGCACGCATACATTTTCCTCAATTATCTTCCTTTAATCTTTTTTCTGTAATTTTTTTTCTTCTCCACCATTTCCTCATGTGTAATCGTAATTCGCCCAGGTGCCCATCATAAAAAATCTAGATTTTTTTGAAATTTCACACAGCTATTTGTGAACATAAAGCATACAGAGATGAAGATTGTATTCGTTATCATTACAGTGGTGTCTAAATAAGGAAAGAATAAAGAGAGTGGGCTCGGCCTGTGTCCTGCTCTGTTGTCCCCCAAGTTATAAATGTGTGAAATCATGTTTCAGGGCTAAACAGGAATCAAGACTGAATTTCTTCTGCTGGGGCTAACTGGCTGGGAAAACTGGGGTTTGGGCACAGGGACACACACCTCGAGCTTCATAATAATAGCAGTGCAGCTGCTGTTTATTAGAGTTAACATCACCAATAAAAAACTTCCAGCACTCAGTCATAAATTGTCAAAGAGTCAGTCTGTATGTCTGGTTGCAGACCCATATGTGCAGCTACTAATAAATCTGTGTTCTAGCACTTGAATTTCACCCTCCCATCCCAGTCACTCTCCAGCTGTTGATCTGCATTAAGGACAGGTTCCTGGTTTTCCTCTGTGTTCTAGCACTTGAATTTCACCCTCCCATCCCAGTCACTCCCCAGCTGCAGATCTGCATTAACCACAGGTTCCTGGTTTTCCTCCAGAGGGAAAAAAAAACCAAAAAAAGAGCATATTTCTGCTGACTCTTCTGCACTTTCAGACACAAATTCCCCCATTCGACACCTGAGCAGAACGACAAACTTCATGTTTATCCAACCAAATAATTTGATTGTATCGAATATAAAAGTAGGGTGTATATATAAGAGGGAAGACAAACTGGGTTCGTAGCTCAAGCTGGAGTGGTCGTTGCTTTGCAATCTCCTTCCATTATTTTGAAAGCTGCTTTTGTAGTTAAAAGCCCTAACGTTTTAACACCGAAATAAACAGTGACCCTTTTTATTAGTGGGTCATTAAATGTTATTTGTAAAGACTGAAATACTAGATGGACTAGCAACCGTGTAGGCTTCACTTACCATTCTAAAGCGAATGAGATGTTTCATGTGCATGATTCCTTTGCAGTAGTTCTGGGGCAGCAAACTGTCGTCCTGGCCTTTTATCACAGCAACTAAATCCCATAAATTTTTGCTGCCTCCTGGAGGCTGAAATTGTTAGGGAAGAAGAGAGTTGTGTTAGAGTCATGTTCAAGAGAGAAACTGGAACTTATAAAATCTTGCAGGACATCAAGACATTTTGGTTTTTTTTTTTAAATAAATTGTAAGTATCTTTATTGGTCTAACATTTGAATCAATCCTCCTGTAGAACTAGGACAATGAGGACAATGTAGAACATTCAATAAGGTCTAGAAGAGCGCAAGTAATTAAAGCTTAAAGAAAAAAAAATTAAAATCATTAAACTTTTGACCTGAAGGAGCTTTTCTAAGAATAACAGGATTACAAGTTTAGAAGTTCAATTATTTCTGAGCCGGTAAAAAGCAGATCCCACAGATTAAAAAAAAAAAGAGAGACTATTCCCTCTTTTTTACAGTCCCTTAAAGTTCTTACTTGACTCCCCATAGTTTAAGCACAACACTTTATTTTCTGCACTCAAAAAGCACTGAACACAGAGGATCAAAAGCAGTTTTGTTCTTGGAAAAGTCTAATGTTCTTATAACAGTTTTACTCCCGAATCAAAATGGGACATCCAAATGTATAAGTTCTGTAAAACAAGGATTTCCCTAAAAATCTAGTTCTAATAAAGCAGGAAATGTCAAGATTTGTGACTGAGGAATACTGTTTCAGCATTTCAAAATAAAAGACTTTAATTCAGCCAGAAATCAACCCAAATATTTGGATGACTCATCAAGTGGGTCATCCAGATGTACAGCTTCTACAAGGAAACCCAGCGGTTTTGGCACCGACACTTGGGCAGTTCAAACCTCATCTGGAATGAGGGTGTCCCTTTGATGGATTAAAATGAGCAACTTCCAATGTGGTTTGATAAAACACATCTTTTCATTTTCTTCAATAGAAAATTCTTGTCAAATCAAATTTTTAATGTGGAAAATTAAATTATCCCACCTATTTCACTTTTTGAAAAATTGGTGTTGGCAACTGACAAACAATTCAGTCATGGACATTTTTAACATGCAGAACTGTTAAGGGATAGAATTGATTTCTGATTATTTTCTGAGCTCCCTTTAAGAAAGAGAGGAAAAAAAAGAGAAGAAAGAAATTTCAGTTTTGTAGATTGAATTCAGAAGAGAAAGTCATGCACACTAACAGCACCCTTAAGTTTGCCGAATACTTACTGAAAAACATTCTGAAAACCACCTTATTTTTTTTCCTCGGGGATTTCCTGTCAGTTTCTCCACTTCTTGTTTAATATCCCTGGAAACTTTCCCACACAGCAAAGGAGGAGCCCCGGATTCCACAGCGCGATCTAACACACACACACAAAGATTTATACATGAAAATTGAAAAATAAAAGAAAAAAAAAGAAGTATACTAACTGTATAGTTAGTACTGTATAGTTAGTATACTACAGAAAATTAAAACCCTGGTATATACAATTGATATATTACCTGTATTATATATTATATATAACTGTATAGTTAGTATACTACAGAAAATTAAAACCCTGGTATATACAATTTATGTATTACCTGTATTATATATTATATATAACTGTATAGTTAGTATACTACAGAAAATTAAACCCCTGGTATATACAATTGATATATTACCTGTATTACCAATGATCTCGTCCCAACATCTATCTACTAAGATATTTATTTGGAGAGGGTTTATAAGAGGTGCCAATGACCAGAGTCTCACAGTTGAGTCACGAGAGCAAGATGCCATAGTGAATGGGCGACTGGGATGACACGTCAATCCTAGGAGAGAGGATATTTAAAAATGTAGTCAGATAATTAAATTTATCCAATAACCAGTTTGATTATAATATTTTATACATTTTGAAACATGTGTGAATGCATTTTGATACAGAAATAAACCCAAATTTTAAAATATTACCATATACATCTGCCCCATGATCGTAAACCGTGTCCAAACAGGTTCCATCCCTCGTGTCCCAGACTCGGATCGTGTAGTCCCAGCTGCCAGACACCAGAAGGTAGGGAATTTCAGGATTCCACATGAGTCCCCGGACCGGAGCCGTGTGTCCACTCAGGACGTTTATACACGCATCCTGGGTATAGTCCCATATCCGAACAGTGCTGAAACAGGATAAAAACACCCGTGTCCATCAAACCACCCACTGAAATGCGATCATCTCTCCGCTTCAGCAATGTTCTAAACTTCAAATTTATCAGAATATGTATTTGCAGTATGTTTATACAAGTTGTAACAGGAGAGGTTGGAGGTAATTCCCTTCATGCTTACGATGGGTATAAAATACACTGAAGAGAGTTCACACTGGGTACTGATAAAGGCATTCAAAGAGTAATTCTCACTCATGTCAAATAGAGGGGATTTACATGTTAAAAGTCTGTTGTCAAGCTGGTTTCTTTCATGAGTTGTGACACTATGAACTAACAGCTTTTGCTGCAAGCACAGACATCTAATGAGCAATACTGGGGAAAGCAGCAGAAGCCAGAACTCCAAACCTGTGATCCTTCCCAGGAATGTTTTGTATATTCTGCAGGGAAGTGGCACAGAATCATAGAAAAAAATCCTTCCTCCTACTTGCTATAGTCTGATGCCCGCTCCCTCAAAAAATATCATCAAGACCAACCAATTTTAGCACCCACTAAAAATCTCCAAAAGTTATACTTAATTATGCTTTTGAAATTCACCAAGTAAGAGCAGGTCTTGAACCCTTATCTTTAGATATAAGGTAAGCACATGGTACCCTCCTTGCACCATTCCTGGGAGTGACAGGTATCAGTCACTGACTCCACCCTTGGGAAAACATTTCAAAAATTGTATTGTGACAACTTTAACTAATTTTATCCTGCTGCTCAAACACTGTATAATACTTCCCTGGAGGGGTTCAAGGCCAGGTTGGAGGGGGCTTGGAGCAACCTGGTCTGGTGGGAGGTGTCCCTGCCCAGGGCAGGGGGTGGCACTGGATGGGTTATAAGGTCCCTTCCAAATCTTGAGTTTCTCTGATAGTTCTGCTCGAGGTTTGAAGTTTTCCAGCAGTTCAGAAACACTGACCCATCATCAGAGCCACTGCAGAGGATGCCTTCTCTCAGGGGAGACCACCGCACGTGAAACACCTTGGCAGTGTGTCCTGAAAAGACCTTCAGTGGCTGGTCTGAGCTGGTGGCCAAGTAGTAAACGCGAACGTTTTTATCCTCACACCCAGTGGCTATCATATCTCTGCAAAATGAAAAGAGTAAAATCCTCCGTCATTTGGGTCATCAAAAGTACTTATGGGTTGGGTTTTTTCAATTTAAAAATAAATATCATGTGTCTTTTGCAAGTAACTTTGTCTCTTTATGATGTAATCATTGATAATCCAATTAAATATTCCAAATCAGAAAAAAAAACCTGGCAAAGATCCACCAAGAATAGTATTTGCACTACAGTCTGTCGAAGCACCCAACACAACTATCAATAGATTGAATTACTGTATAATTGGGTTTTTGGCAAAAAAAAAATCATGCTATTATTAGGAATTATCTGCAAAATTAACATCTGTCAGGGTCTATTTAGTTGCCTGCTACATCTTCAGCATATCAGTCATTAAAAGGAAGCCAATCAAAGCCAATCTAAACCCCCCCTTTCCTGGTACTGAATGTCTCCCCCACTTTTATATACTCAGAAAGAGAATTTCTTTTTCTCCCATCAATATATACTGGGAACACAGAGGAATATAGAGCCAATTTCAGTGCTCTAATATAATAGTAAATATCACATTCTAAATAACTTTGTGGTAATCAATGTAAATAGTAATCGGTAATCAATTGGTAATCAATGTAAATAGTAAATATTATCAATTCTTTAGGTTAATTTTTACTTACTTGTTGTTTTGACTCCAGTCACAGCCAAACACAGCAGCTGGATGTTTGTACTTGTGAAGGACCTTGCCGTCAATGGTCCGAACGATACTGAAACCAATTACAATGGAATATTAGGAGGAAAAAAGCATTCTGAGCAGGTTAACCAAAAGCCAAGTTTGATTCTGGGCAAATAAGCCAGATAGAAAAAAAATATACATAAAGCACAGGAGAAATCTTTATTCCTACAGCCCCTCAACTGCAAGGCTAATGATGTATTTCCCAATAAAACATTTAATTGGACTTTGATTTAAGGTCCACGTTCTTTCAGAGGAGCTGTAAAGGTGTCCACAGCGGTACC